GCCCTTTTTTGACATCAAGACAATTATTCTTATTGCTACATTGTTGGACAGGACACTGTTAAAAAAATAAATAAATAAAGCATATTGCACCCGTTTCTATAATGTCAACTTGTGGGAGATGATTTAAACAAAGCAGTATGCAGAACACTAAAGCATTGACTAGTGCAAGTCAGCTGCAGATTTCAGTACGTCCACCTTCTTTTCTGTATTGCATAACCTTATATACAGCTGGATGTATAGATTAACTAATTCTACAACTGATGTTATCTTAGTGCTGATGAATATTGCACTAACTTCGGTCAGATAGAAGCGCAGGATGTGGAACCACTGACATGTTTTTTTCTTTTTGTACATCTTTAAATAATTTTATCTTTTCTATTATCGACTCTATCTTTAGTAATTTGTGTTTTTATAGCAGTTAATATTGACTCATTTGTGTCTTCAGTAAAATCATTATGTTGATGATAGTGATTGCTTACTTTCACTGCTACTTTGATTCAGATAAATTGCGCAACCATGTTGGTTAAGCAGTGTGAAGAACTGTTGAAGAGTTGCGAAAGCTAGCATGGATGGTGGTGCAGCTTGTAACACAGCTGCCTCACCGTGAACATGAGGTAAATCCTTGTCTTTGACCTTTGTGCATGGATACTTTTTAAATATTCTAGCTTTGCAATGCTGAGTAGACTCTACCCAACATCTGTTTTATAGCTACTGAAATTAAATATTCTTTACTAATGAGATTTAAGAAATTTCACTCAAACAAACTGGGTACAAATACCCTTACCTTTTTGTGGTAAATCCTATAGGTTTGCTTTTTACAGTGGATGAAGTAACTCGTTACAAAGCCATGTGGGAGAAAAGGAGCTGCTTTTATTCTCCACGGTGGCAGAGACACTCATTTCTTCACCATTAAACACGAGGAGGGTGCCAAAAAGAAGACGGATTAAGACACAAAAACAGGATTGCAACAAATATACAGTAGCAGCCATTCAAAATGGCCCTTCCCCGTCAATGGCAGCCAACATCCAGCCACTGGAGTGACCCCCTCCCAGGGGCAGATTTGGGAAATTTGGGGCCCTAGGCAAAGACAGGCAGGGGTCCCTCTGAAATGAGAAGACAACACATAAAACAGACCCATTCTAAAGATAGAGAAATGTTAATAGAATAGACATCCATTATCTGTTCTAGGTTGTGTCCCTCTCTTCTTGTCCCTTTTCTTCTTGTTTTCCTCTCTATGTTTTGTACTCAGCTGACTTTTCATGCTGTCTCTAAAGGAATGAAAGATTTTTTCCAAGCACTAAGCTCACTTAGCTGATTGCTCCTTCCTGTGTTTCCAAAAAGGCCAAAGTAAATAACCCAGTCCTTCTTTTCACTGTAGACAAGCCATGATCTGCTTATCTGTTCTCCTTTTTTCATTTGGATGAACTCAAAGTCTCCAGTAGCAGAAAAAAGTCTCTAGATTTGGCGCTAGGAGCTTTTTAGAAATCAAAGTGCTAGAGGGGTCTGAAAAGTGGCTAAATATAGCGACTAAAGCGCTAAGTTGGCAACACTGCTCTTTGCATGGTTTGTTTTCAAATGGTTTGCTGCTGTCTGTTTGGACCTTTCTGAACATATTATAAGGGTTCAGGTGGCATTTTAGCAAAAGTAGTTTTATTGTTGTATTAACCATACACGTAAACAGAGCTTTATGGGGACTCCAGGAACTTGAGGCCCTATAGGCAACTGCCTAGTATTGCCTAATGGTAAATCCCCCCTGCCCCCTCCTTCTCCTGGGCGTGCAAAATTTTTTACTCTGACTCCACCTTTGCACTGAATTACAGGGTCTGAACAGGAGATGATGCTTCTCTTAAGATCTTAATGTCCACAAATCATGACAGAATATTTCAGTACAAAGACTGATGTTTATAAAAGGGTCCATCAAGGAAAGTGGGGACATTTTGAAAAGCTACTACTGTACAGTAAGTTGTCAAAATCATGCCTTGGACATAGACAAAGACATGAAACATACAGATATACAGTTTATCAGCAGAAAAAATAATAAAATAAAATAATAATAATTAAAAAATGAAGTTTTCATTTAGAGAAAAATGTTTCAGTAAACTTCCAAAATCCAAATTAAGTAGAAATAAAATAGAAATTCTGAATTTAGCTGGAATGGAAGGTTTCTGGTTGATCTGAAACAGGTTTGGTCTGACTTGAATTCAAACTGTTGTTTTTTGTTTTTTTTTCAAACATTTTAGATAAATGTGGTCCAACCAGTTTTGAGCAAAGCAGAGCTGAACGCTGTTACTAAATCAAATTTAGTTATGACCGGGTGTTAATCGAAGGGTGTGCACAAACCAGGCTTTTGCACTTTTTTTCTCATTTCCTCCTGTCTGCTTTGTTGATTGCAACAAAATATGTAATATGAAAGGTAGAACGAATACGGGGGGAAAAATCCAGTGGTTTTATATGTTTCAGTCTCGATGAACTGAAAATTTAACAGGGATTCGTCGTGTTTCTCCTCAGCAGTCAAAATATCTTGTAAAATTTTCCATCTTCCTTCTTTGTTACATCAGGTTGTCTTGACACAAAAAGTTTGACCTACAATCTTTTGCATCTGCAACTGATGTACATAAACTGAAATAGCAACATGTTCATGACAGCTGTTAAAAAGAAAAAAAACCCAAACCTGCTAAATATTATCTTTGGAATCTGTCACCGTGGTTTCATGCTGAAAAACCTGCTCTTGTTTTTTAGAAACTAACCTTATTAATTTAATTTATAACCTATTTATATATGCGTGAATGCAGGGCAAAAAGTTTAACTGTTATAAAGTGTTTTAGTAACAAATATAAATATATTTTCCTTTTATTTCAATCTGCGCAGCTTGGATTATAATACGTTTGATCTTATTTGGATCCATCTACAGCTTCCTGATTGTGCTGAGAAATACTGTAGGTGCATTTAGCTTGAAAAGATGTGTTTGAATGAAGAAGGAGGTAAATCTTTACAGCCATTTCTTTTATAAGATATTTTTGCATAAACTAATTTAGTAAACGCTGAAAAGAAAAGCAACTGCATGCATGCTGATTGCAGAGCCTGTGTTCCTTCGTCCAGACACGGTTATCATAATGACATCGCTGACTGAAACCAAAAACACCCTCAGATGTGTGACTTTGGAAAACCTCAAAACTTGTGAAACCTTCATCTTTTAGAAGATCATTGGCTGAGCTCGTTGGCTGAAGGCAGCCTGATGAAGAAACGGATTAACCAACTACCAGAACAAGAATGTGTCTCAAAACAATTACACTTACAGGCCTGTGGGTGAAAACACGTATATGAACCCAGACATATTCAATTCCTCATAAATCCTGTGTTTTTTTTTATGCTTTGCCTTTTTTTTTAGATATGGGCAGCCAGTTTTTATGTTCTCAGCTCCAGAAGCAAAGTTCTAAAAAAAAACGACCACAAGGATGAAAAGAAGCACAATCTCTTTCACAAAAAACCACCTTGCAGACATGCAAGACCCTCTTGATGCTGACACAGGAAGGAAACTAGTCAGAACTGCTACTGTTGTATCCCTCGTTCTGTTCTGCCCAGCTTGCACAATTTCTCACTCTACTAACCAATCTTTGTGGTGTACAAGAAGTGAACACTGCACAAGGGCGATAAAAACTGAAGAAAAAAAAAAGTGTGGTTGTGCTTGTCTTTTATATCTTTGAGTTATTGCCATTTTACCCAGGCACGGTTTTTGGGTTGAAGTCTCAGCCTCTTCGTCTTAGTGGAATTTATGAGAACGGTGCTCAGGAGCAAAATGCAAATACTTTCCAGTGGTCATGATCAAAACTACAGTGGGTGTTCTGTTCAACGCAGCCCACTGTTAGATTTTACTTTATAATGCATCATTTTGTTTATCTCAGCACACAGAAAGCTGCTTTAATCATTATTTTATTCCTCATTTAAAACAACAGGCATACAAACAAAATAAATACTGAAAATGCTACAACTAAATCAGCACCTTAGTGTCAACTGACTCGACATCTTCCATTAAAGCACATTTCTGAGTAAAAACTGCTCCTTTTATTTCCTTGTGCTTCTTTTGTTCTTTGAGCTGCCAATGAAAGAAAATGTGCAACATCATCTCTGGGTTTTTATATCCTGATGAGAAGCTATTCAGTCCAGGTATTATAGATACGATAATAAAAATACAATCAAGTTAACAGTAAGTTTTCCTCCTGATTCAGAACCAAACTACTGCACAATGATACAAAACCGAAAGTCTTCAGATCTTGTACAGGCCGAAGAAATTGGCGTAATGTGAGTGGCTCAGGAAACTAGGGTGGGATACGTTCACATAGACTATGTCGAGCCTCTTCAGCTGCAGGGCAGCGCCCAGGTAGTTCTCTGTGGTCCATGAGTGGGCTGAATGCTGGGGGCAGAAGCCCGAGCGGTGGGCCTCCATCAGAGGCTGAGGTGAGGTCAGGCCCTCTCTCCTCAGAAACACAGCGTGCAGAAAGGAGGACGCAGGACCGCAATCCTTAAAGATCAGCTCCACTCGAGAGTAAATTTCGTAGACTCCTGACTCGTTGACCTGCAGGCCGCCGTCTTGGATGCGGTAGGACACCCCTCCAGAGACAAAGGCCTGGCCTGTTTTAGGTTCCCATCGCAAAGTCTTGGAAGGTTCTTTCTGAATGCGCCCTACAAAAAGACAGCAACATTAGGCAGAGTGGACAAGAGAAAATTTAAAATCTAATCTCACGTTAATAGAAATCTTACCAATTACATGGGCTGCAGGTCTCTCCTTTTTCTCTTCTACCTTGGTTTCAGGCTTATAGAGACCTGAAATGACCACCAGATGAGTCGTGTTAACAGTTTTTATTTGCTGGGAGCATTGCTATCATTTCATGCAGGAAGAACACAATGTTCACATACCGATTTGCTTCAGCGGGGAACCAAACTCTTGTATGGGTTTAGGTTCAACCTTTAAGGAAGTAAAAGAAACAGAAACTCAATACCACATCACACAGAGAAATGCGGCTCAGTGCTTTCTAACGCTTAAAGCTCAGTCGCGGCACATGAGATGGAGGATATCCTGTTTAAATGGACGGGTGACCACAGTGGAACGACCAAGACTTTGGTTTGCATTTTAAATGTCAGGGTTCATCAGTGAATCCATTATTCTAAACTCTTTCACATTAATTATTAAACTTCACAGGTCAGCCCAAACTTTCCAGCTATGGTTCCATTCTCCCACCTTACACCTCTCAATGTCACCCCCACTTTATGCAAAGATGGCAAATGTTCTATTTTAGTCTTTGCTACTGAGCAGTAAAGAAATAACATCTTGTCTTGACAAAAAAAGAACAACAACAACTGAGCTTTCTAAAGCAAAACTTGCAGAAAAATGGTCAAACACGATGCACTCCCCCCAATAAAACTGTAATTAAAAAAGAAATAAATGAAAGCTTAACATTAACATTCAGTTTCCTTGACCCTTACCTTCTCCGGAGCCTTGAGTTGTTTCTGGATGTTCAGAATCTGCCAAGCTTCAAACCCCAGGGCTGCAAAAACCAGCAGGAACATCATGAGCAACACCATGAAGAGGCTGGGGCTGACCCCCAAGCAGCTCCGGCTCTTGCTGCGGCTCCTCATGCTCTCATGGACCGGTGGGAATGACCAGCAGGGAATGAGGTTTGGAGGAGCCACAGGCTGCCGTTGACCTCCGCCTTCATCCACCAGGAACACCTGTGGGTAGGGGTACCTCTGGTCAGAGCTCATGGTGCAGGTACTGACTGACAGGCAAGCTGTGTGCAAGGCTCTCTTGTATGCGCTGAAAGAGGTGTGGACTTGTGTCTGAAGAGCCCTGTCAATTTCATGTCAAACCCAAGAAGCTGTCAAAGCAATCGCCACCCACTAATCCCTCCCACGCCTCCCTTGAGGAGTTAAACACTGATATCTGAACTAAACTAAGCAGTTATCTCGCCCTGAATCTGCTCAATTTGGATTTGCTGCATAATATTTCTAAATACTACTTTCTTTGCATATCTCTCTATATTTAATCAGGTAGTTTGCAGAATAATAGGTTTAGATGCATATGTCAGAAAAGGAAGTTTGAGGTTAAGCTGACCCATACCTCACTAACCATCCTCTTCTTTTCTGCATAAAGAGACCTTTTCACATATTCCACTAAAGGAAACACTGAGTAACATCACCTATCAGGACCTGTTTTCCACATCACCAAACTTCAATCTTACCCTCTTTCCAGTGAATCACGTTTCACCTCCAAATAAAAGCCATGCCGTTTATTGCTGATCTACATTCCATATGTGTGTCAATGTCGATGGGGCCCTGTGTGTTGGTAAACAGTGATGCAGCAGTTTCAAAAGCTCAGAGCGTATTCTTGGTGGGAAGAAGCGGCTGCCACATGAAAAGGAACAAGCTCTTTGCATGGGCTTGCACGCTGTCTGCTTCTGAAAGGTCTCGCTGAAGCATTCACAGTTATAAATGAAGAGAGGTGAGAATTTAAAAGCCAAGTAAAACCTAAGAGGTAGCTTACAGGAAAGAGCACTCATATGCTTCTCCTCCCTTCCACCTGACTAATACCCAATGCTGCTGTGGTCTCCCAGCAGGTTTGGGATATTTCATATGCACTGCAGTTTCAGATGACTGTAACACTTTCCTCTTGCATGTTATATCTACTAGATGATCAAAACCTGATAACACCTTTTGAGGTTTCTTCAACCCTCCCAGGTGGTTGGTTTGGGTATAGGTTCATGTTCAGATGCTTAGATAAGAAATCAATTTCATTGTCTATTGCTTTGAGTTGGGAAGTTGCTCTGAGTCATACAATCATACTGAAACTCAATTCCAGACAGCATGTAGCAACATTTTATTGCAATAAACATTGCATACATGACATTGCTAATGTCATGTATGCAAAATCTCCCATGAGATTCAACCTGTGTCAGGATTTTGGCTTCCATGGCCAAGTGGGCTTCATACCGGTGCTGCAAGGTTTTCTTTCATTTCTCCAGAGTCAGGTAGATAAAGGGAAACCCACCTTGCAGCATGCACAGTCTGCTCCAAGGTAAAGGGCAATTACGTCAAATCTAACCATAAACTTCACAGACTGCCGGTAGCCTGCAAACGTCTGTTTCCCAGAAGCGTCATGCTGAAACAAGGCCCTCGCAGCAACCCTAGCAGCAGCAGCAGCAGCAGCGCAGATCAGGTTAGGTGGGGGAGGGTGGGGTTTTGGGGTCTAACCAGGCCGTGTTCACGGTTACTGCTCCAGTTATTATAACCAGCCGGCTGAAATAGGACGCATCACTGAATCAGCAAGTACTTTTCTAAGTCATGTTTCCTACTGCCTGCCTTTCTATGCACAATGGAGGTAGTTGTGGTCTCGATGACTGATAACACAAATAATGCCGAAAAAGATGATGAAGTGCATTGCCTGAAAAGAGAGACTTATATCATCTCCTTTTTTTGGAGAAACAGATTTGTCTATTTCTAGACCGCAGATTTTATGAGCCAGCATCTCATGTGAACAGCGGTGCCTTGCAAAAAACCATCCGTGCCACTTGACATTTTGTAACATCATAAGCATAAACTTTACCATAACTTATTTAGGTAGAAGATCAACATGAAGCAGGATATCATTTATATCACATGTGAGAATACATTGTTTTTTTAAAACCTTTAAAGAAATAAAGCCGTTAATTTGTTTTCCAAATTACTTGAGTACCATAAATGTTCCAATAAACTCCAATAAATAAACTGCTGAAAACAAAATTAAATTCTATTCAGTTTATTTCTATAGCACCAATTCAAAATCGTCATCTTTTGCTTTTTCGTCATCTCAAGGCACTTTACAGTTCACCAGATCATCCAGTCAAATTGATTCAAAGTTTTCTATCTAAGGAAAACCAGCTGATTTCATCAACTCTTCGACGAAGGTTATCCCTCACACTAAGCATGCTTGTAGCGACAGTGGAGAGGAAAAACTCCCTTTTAACAGGAAGAATGAGACGAGCTCCGAGCCAGCTCCCATGTCATAGGACGAAGAGAGCACATCCAGTTAGTCACTTTCAGAGAAACAGGACTACACTGGAAAACAGGCCGATCTCCAACATCTATAAGCAAAGGTGTTGATGGCAGCAGCACAGCTGATATTTCTCTCCAGGATGGAGTCACAGCCAAACAGGAACAGACCAGATGAAGCTACTATGAGAAGAGCAGAGAGAGCAGAACGTTAGAGATTGAACTAACAGATTCTGCAGAGTGGGAGAACAGAGATAGAATGAAGCAGAATGATGAAAAAGGGGTCCCTATGTCCTCCAGCAGTCTAAGCCTATAGCAGCATAACTATAGAGATAGCTCAGGATAACCTGAGCCACTCTAACTAGAAGCTTTATAAAAAAGGAAAGTTTTAAGCCTAGCCTTAAAAGTAGAAAGGTCATAAAACCACACAACATGGTTCTGCCACATCGTGTTTCACAGAAGGCCTGGTGGGATGGTCAAACCTGCAGCGATACACCATACCATATAAGCTTTTTTGTTCCTGTTCACAAACATGAAATAAGCTTTTGTTAAATATTACATGTTTATGTAACACTATGGCTATCCATTAATGCTATTTGAAACACGTTCAGTTAGCTTTCGTTTCCTCATCTTTGTTAAATACTTTTTTTTTTCTAGCATTTTCATACTTCAGTGCTGATGAGGGGTTTCTATGACCTTCTAAGGATGTGCGGTTGACAGGAAGTGTTGATTGTGCAATACAAGCCTAAATTCACCAAGAGGAGGGCAGAATGGCCAATTTAAGCTAAATTTTGCTTATTTCCTTTGAGGTATTATTTTTTATTCCTTTTTTCGTTTTATTAGTAACTCATTTACAGTTAGGTAGCCCTTCAAGATGTTTAGTTTATTTTGTTAAATATTTGCTTAATATTTTGTCCCATTTTTGTGTCAAACAGGTCATACAGTCTCATTCAAAAATAATTTATTAATCCAAGAGGAAAATTAAATGTTGCAGTAACTCATTTTTTTTTTTTTTAACTAGGGGCTGTAGGTGTTGATAGCTGTGGGCAGGAAGGATCTTCTGTAGAGGTCTGTGTTGCACTGTTGCTCTGTCAGACCAGCATACCCATAGTCAATGCACATGTGCAAGACGTCAGATTTGCATTTATCATTTTAGTTTCGAACAAAAAATACACTTTAAACTACCTCAACAGGTGTGTATACCTTTAGAGATAGCTACAGGTTTCATCCCACTCGCACTTTCCGGGTCTTGTTCCAACCTTTAATTGTGAGAACAGAAAAAGCTTGAGCATGTTCCCTCTTAGTTTGTTTCTTTTTGATCTGCTTCAATCTGAGGAGTTTAACGCCAAGAAGAAGCCATTTCTTAGTTTTATCAGATTTATTCAGAAGATCTGGAACTCACTACAGTCTACTGTTGCTATTTGCACAGAAACCTTTCATGTCAACATTGGCATTCTAATCAGAAAAAATTATTAATTATATATTTTGGACCAATAAAGATTAAAAAAGACATTATTTGAATACTATTTTGTCTTTTGTAGAATTATTACATTTATATGTATGACTCTAGACATTCTGTAGATCTACAATCTATGAAAAATCTATTGTTTTCATGGGGAAAAAAAACATGTAGCTATGACCTTTATAAAGTATTAATTTGCACTAAAGTGCAATCATAAATCTGAACCCTGCATTCAGCATCAGTTCTGTCTGATTTTTCTGATCCAGGGAATTTTTAATGGTTATTTTTTTGGTTATCAACATTAGAGGTTGTTAAGAATTCTGATAAGTCTGTGCTTCTATATTCACTATTGGCTTCTCTCTTTGATAGCTGATGGAGACTTCTGCTAAGAGATTTTTCCTTTTTCTAATTTATACCACAGTAGACCTGAAATGGAACACTGATTATCACATCCTGTTGTGCAAATAGAATAGACAGCAGGTGGAAATTATTGGGAAATAGCAAGACACGCTCAATAAAGGATTAGTTCTGCAGAATGGGGACCACAGCCCACTTCTCAGTACCTTTGCTTTCTGGCTGATGTTTTGGACAGTTTTGAATATTGGTGGTGCTTTCTCACCCCTGGTATCATCAGACGGACCCTACAACCCACACAAGTGGTTCAGGTAGTGCAGTCCATCCAGGATAGAGCTGTGGCATTAAGGATTGCTCTGTCTGTCAGCATAGTTTCCAGAACCTGGAGCCGCTACTAGTAAACAGGCCAGTAGAACAGGAGATGTGGAGGAGGCCGTAGAAGGGCAACAACCCAGCAGCAGGACTGACACCCCCGCCTTTGTGCAGGGAGGAATAGGAGGAGCACTGCCAGAGCCCTGAAAAGGACCTCCAGCAGGCCACAAATGTGCATGTCTCTGCCCAAATGGTGAGAAACCGACTCCATGAGGATGGCATGAAGGCCCGAGATCCACAGATGGGGGTTGTGCTCACAGCCGCATTGCCCTCCCTGTGCTCGCCAGAGCTAGCATGACTGCAGTTAGATAACGAGATGAGATCCTCAGAGCCCTTGTGAGATCATATACTGCTGCGGCTGACTCTGGGTTCCTCCTAATTTAGGACAATGCTAGAGCTCATGTGGCTGGAGTGTTTCAGCAGTTTCTGCAAGATGAAGGCATTGAAGCTATGGACTGGCCCTCACGTTTCCCCCCTGCCAACACACCCATGAGGGGCCCATGTGGGTTGGAAGTGGGCTGTTGAGTGGGCCCCAGCTGGGTTCCATGGTGGCCCCTTGTGGGCAAGCCCACATGGGCTAAGGGTGGGTTTCACATGGGCCCCACACGGAACCCAGTTTTCTCCCACATGGGACCCACACTGGACCCTGGGCGGATTATGGGTCCTTATTATGTCCTACACAGGCTTAGACCTTAGTCTGACTGAACACATCTGGGACATCATGTCTCAGCCTATCCACCAACATCACCTTGCACCAGAGACTGTCCAGGAGGTGGCAGATGTTTCAGTCCAGGTCTGAAAAGGAGATCCCTCAGGAGACCATCTGCCAACTCATCATGAGCATGCCCTGGTGTTGTAGGGAGGTCATACAGGCAGGTGGAAGAAACACACAATACTGAGCCTCATTTGACCTCAAAGCTGGATCAGCCTATACATACATACATATA